TGGCTCCAAAGAAAGGCACGAGACATGGAAGTGAGAGAGAAAGAGAGAAAGAGAGAGATAGCACGGCGTGACGGCACAGAGCACACACACACACACACACACACACACACATACACACACACACACGAGAGAGAGAGCGAGGCAAGCAAGCCCACCAGCCGCAAGCCGCAAAGCTAATGGAAAGGAACGCGGGTCCCAAAGGTCCCCACGTCCAACGCCGTAGTAGGCTGGATTGCCCTGCCAGCCAGCTCGTCCTAGTGTAGCTCCCCAGTTCTTCGGCACGAAGTCCTCGTCTCTTGTCTTGTCAGTGTCTTTCTAGCGGCAGCTAAGCTGTACTTCGTACACAGTGGTACATACTGGCAGTGACAGACAGCCAGATAGACAGACAACGGCCTTTTCTCGCTCCAGTTTTTTTTTTTTTGCTCTTTGCTCCTATGTACGACGGCCGGTTCCTGTTGCTGCTCCCTTCTGCTCCTACTTCTTGCGCCAGACGTTTGCTCAGCGGCAAAAATGTCCCGTCGTCTCTACTCTGTATCCGTACCCTTGCTCGAAATAGCATCGACGTCGCTCGCCCGGTCACAGTGTGTGGGTTTTTCCCTCACCCGCATCTGTTTTGATGCTTGCAACTTCTTGGCGTTGATCCGAGCAAGACGGGGTACGCAGCTACACGCCGGTCCCTTGTTCACACACACACACCTACCACACAGCTCACACACGCCGACGCCGCGGTCTCTTGCCTCTCGTCTCGTTTCTTGCCTCTCCATTGCCGCGCGAGGGTACCAAAGTACGGAGAGTATGGAGTATGCCACAATGCCAGTCTACCTTTTTTCCCCTTCCACCCTGGGGGCCGTGGCCCATGCCCTTCCTTACCTTGCCTTGCCTTGCCTTGGTCCCATCTTCTTGTTCCCATCCGCGGAACCTCTTCGACCAGTCCGGCCTCGCCGTTTGACAGATGTAATATAATATGCCCCATTCTCCCACCGTGATTCATGTCTCTTCTGGCTTAGCCTTCTTCCTCACCCTGCTCTGCCCCTCCTTCCTCTCTCCTCCCTCATCCTCTACCTTCCTATATATACCTGTCCTGCGCTCGCCTCTACTACCCCTACAGCTGGACTGTATTCCTTTTCCGTTGTTCTATGGCACCATACAAAATGGCGGGCTTAATAGGAAAAGGAGGCAACAAGCACTACCCTCAACCCATCAACACCGAGGATGACGACCAGGACCTCGAGACCGGCAACTTCATCCAGGAGCGCGCCAGGAACAACCGGGTTGATGGCGGTGCTGGCGAAGGCGGTACCAACGAGGAGTACAGATCGTAAGTCTTCTTCTTCTTCACCACCGCCCCAAAAACGAGTCTTACACGCCATTGGCTCTTCTCCAAGTGCCAATGGCTCAAAAGTCACTCTCCAATGTAACGCTGGGGACTAACACCGCACCTCTCAACCACAGTCTGATCAAGTACATCGACACCTACCGGGACCCCAACGCTGAGGTGGAAGAGACCGAGGCGGCCACAACCAAGAAGGTGCCAGCATGGCAATTCTGGAAGAAGGCCACCCAGGAGGGCGCTGGTGCCAGCGGTTTCGTCACTCCCGCCGACTGGCTCAAGACCGACATGAGGCAAGGTCTTGACCCCACGGAAGTCGAGCGCCGCAGAAAGTACACCGGCTGGAACGAACTCACCACCGAGAAGGAGAACATGTTCCTCAAGTTCGTTGGTTTCTTCCGCGGTCCCATTCTCTATGGTAAGCACAAGCCAACAACCACTTCACCGCAGCAGTCTGCGGCATGGACTGCATGAAACACCACGGGCAAAACGCTAATTCTCAATGCAGTCATGGAGTGTGCCGCTATCCTCGCCTTTGCCCTGCAGGACTGGCTTGACGCCGGTCTGATTGTCGCCATTTTGTTGCTCAACGCCGCTGTCGGTTGGTACCAGGAGAAGCAGGCTGCCGATGTCGTCGCCTCCCTCAAGGGTGACATTGCCATGAAGGCTCGTGTCGTCCGTCAGGGCAGAGAAGAAGACATCCGCGCCCGTGAGCTCGTCCCCGGTGACATTGTAAGTCGTCTCATCTACCCGTTATCGCATCGGCGATTTGGGAAAGCCAATCTTACTTACACGGACTCTCTAGATCATTGTCGAGGAAGGCCATGTCGTCCCCGCCGATTGCCAGCTTATCTGCGACTACGAGAACCCCGCCGGCTACAGCGCCTACAAGGCTGAGCTCGAGGCTCAGGATGTCATGTCCCCCCGCCGCGAGAAGTTCGAGGAGGGTGATGAGGAGAACGCCAACCCCGCTCTCGGACACTCTATCGTCGCCGTTGACCAGTCTGCCATGACTGGTGAGTCCCTCGCTGTCGACAAGTTCATGACCGACACTTGCTACTACACCACCGGTTGCAAGCGCGGCAAGGCTTTCTGTATCGTCACCCACGGCGCCCAGGCCTCTTTCGTCGGAAAGACCGCCTCCCTCGTCCAGGGCGCCCAGGACCAGGGTCACTTCAAGGCCATCATGAACTCCATCGGTACTACGCTTCTCGCCCTTGTCATCATCTTCATCCTCGCCGCCTGGATCGGTGGTTTCTACCGCTCCATCGAGGTCTCTGAGGAGGGCACTTCCGTCAACTTGCTCCACTACGCCCTGATTCTTCTCATTATCGGTGTCCCCATCGGTCTGCCTTGCGTTACCACCACCACCTTGGCTGTCGGTGCCGCCTACCTCGCTGAGGAGAAGGCTATCGTCCAGAAGCTTACCGCCATTGAGTCCCTTGCCGGTGTCGACATTCTCTGCTCCGATAAGACCGGTACCCTCACTGCCAACCAGCTGTCCGTCCGCGAGCCCTTCGTCATGGAGGGAGTCGACATCAACTGGATGATGGCCGTCGCCGCTCTTGCCTCTTCCCACAACATCAAGGCTCTCGACCCCATCGACAAGATCACCGTCCTCACCCTCAAGCGCTACCCCAAGGCCAAGGAGCTCATCTCTGACGGCTGGAAGACCGAGAAGTTCACTCCCTTCGACCCCGTCTCCAAGCGTATCACCACCATCGCCACCCACCGTGGTGTCCGCTACACTTGCGCCAAGGGTGCCCCCAAGGCCGTTCTCGCCCTCACCGACTGCACCGAGGAGCAGTCCGCCCTCTTCAAGGAGAAGGCGGCTGAGTTCGCTCGCCGTGGTTTCCGTTCCCTCGCCGTCGCCGTTAAGGAGGAGGATGGCCCTTGGGAGATGCTCGGCATGCTGTCCCTCTTCGACCCCCCTCGTTCCGATACCGGCCAGACCATTCTCGAGGCCCAGGCCCTCGGTCTCCAGGTTAAGATGCTTACTGGTGACGCCCACGCCATCGCCGTCGAGACCTGCCGCATGCTTCAGCTCGGTACCAAGGTTTACAACTCCGACAAGCTTCTTCACTCCGACATGGCTGGCACTTCCATCCACGATCTTTGCGAGCGTGCCGATGGTTTCGCTGAGGTGTTCCCCGAGCACAAGTACCAGGTCGTCGAGATGCTCCAGCAGCGTGGTCACTTGACTGCCATGACTGGTGACGGTGTCAACGATGCTCCTTCCCTGAAGAAGTCTGACTGCGGTATTGCCGTCGAGGGTGCCACCGAGGCTGCCCAGGCCGCCGCCGATATCGTCTTCCTTGCCCCCGGTCTGTCCACCATTGTCTCCGCCATTAAGCTGTCTCGCCAGATTTTCCAGCGCATGAAGGCCTACATCCAGTACCGTATCGCCCTTTGCTTGCACTTGGAGATCTACCTGGTCACCTCCATGATCATTATCAACGAGACTGTCCGCGCCGACTTGATTGTCTTCCTCGCTCTCTTCGCTGATTTGGCCACCATTGCCGTCGCTGTAAGTATTTGCCTCATTCTACACACTCAAGCTTCAAGTCACTAATCAATCCAATAGTACGACAACGCCCACTTCGAGAAGCGTCCCGTCGAGTGGCAGTTGCCCAAGATCTGGATTATCTCCATCGTTCTCGGCTCCCTCCTCGCTGCCGGCACCTGGATTCTCCGCGGTACCATGTACATCACCGAGGGTGGTGTCATCCACGACTACGGTTCCGTCCAGGAGATTCTCTTCCTCGAGATCTCCCTCACCCAGAACTGGCTCATCTTCGTCACCCGTGGCTTCGATACCTTCCCCTCCTTCCAGCTGATCGGTGCCATCGCCGCCGTCGACGTTCTGTCCATCCTCTTCTGCGTCTTCGGTTGGTTCTCTGGCGGCCGCGGCGAGCCCGCCTCCCCTCCCTCGCTCAACAAGTTCCTGTCCGAGAACGGCCGCACCGACTTCGTCACCGTCTGCGTCGTCTTCGTCTACTCCGTCGCCGTCACCATCGTCATGGCCCTGGTCTACTACGTCCTGACCAACCTCCGGGTCCTCAACGACATGGGCCGCAAGAAGCGCAGCGTCACCGACACCCTCATCGAGAACGTCCTCACTCAGCTGAGCAAGGTCGCCCTCGAGCACGAGAAGGACGACAAGGGCGAGCGCTTCTACATTGCCAACCGCGCCGTCGTCGAGGAGGGCTAAGCGTCCTGAGTCGAGCAACTGGAGAGTTCGACCAAAACATGAAAGAAATCAAAAAAATCAACACAAAAATTAGACATCATGTTATTAGGAGCGCGCGCGGCAGAGCAGTCACAAACAAAGCGTGTTTTGAACGGCATCGAGAGTTTCACAACAAAAAATCCATTTCTGAAATCAATTTTTCCATATCCCACTATAGAGAAAGAAGAAGGCGATGATACTTCTTAGGTGCGAGGAAGAGAGAGAAAGACCAGCCAAAAGGGAAAGGCGAGGGACACACCAACCTCTAGATGACGCGCTTGGTAATATTTGGCGACATCAACACGACTGTCACTAATGACCCATTTTCACGAGCAGTTTTCTGTAATGTAACAAAAAGACCATCATGTTCATTGTTGTGGCGTTGATCGGGTCAAGGGTCGGTCGGTTAATTCAATTAAATCTGAACAAGTTAAACAAATTTGCGAGCTCCCTCCTTCGTGACATGTTTTCCATCTTCTAAACCCGATAGTACACTCTATCATTGTCTATCTGTTCCAACTTTGATCAAAAGCCCAACATCGCTCCCTCGGGAGGCTTACAACATCCTTCGGCCCGATCTGTATTACGAGGCGAGAAAAAAGACTACTCAGATGTCTCGAGTCCCAGAACTGAACAGACTCTGGTCACCCTTGCTTCCCGTCCGAGAAGTAACCCCCCATTGGGCCTGAACTGCAAAGGTTCAACCTTTTCCGCAACTACGGCTGTTTCTGACCACCAGGACACTCGGACCGCTTCATGCGTAAGCCGTCCTTCTCTTCCTCTTTTCTCTCTTCTCTCCCCACCGTAACCTCTCCGACCTCCGGACTTTCTCCCGCGTTGTTGGCAACGCCGTGCAGGCAGGGATGGATGGGTTGGTGGTCCATGTTCCCACCCTTTTTGACGACGGCCAAGATCCGTCCACCGGTAATGTTGTTCTCTCGAGTCGGGACGACGGGGGAGGAGGAAGGACTTGGAGGGTGGGCGCGAGGCGGCGAGAAAAGAGAGAGGCGAAAAGGCGAGAAGCGGGAATCCCGGGAGGAGAGTTTAGGCATGATGGCATTGAGACGTCGGGCTTACCCCCTTCCCCCCCTCTATGCGGTTTATTAGCCGTTACTCGTGTGTATTCCTTACGACATCCTAATGGATGTTCCTGATGGATGACGAAGACCATTTTTTTCTGTTTCCCAGCTTTTATCTGGTTCACGCTTTCGTGATTCACGGGTCGATCGCTCAAGTCGTACGCTCTCTCAACCCCCTTGAATTCCTGTGCTCCTTCATCCGGGTGTACCGATACCGCGAGGTCGCTCAAGGTCCGAGGGGTGGTGCGGATGGACCACCTCCTGGTCAAGACTGAAAAGAAGCCTTTTTTTCTCGTCTCCTCTCCGTTCTCTCGATTTTTCTCATACGCTGGAGCACGAGAGATTATGCGGCAGACTCCTTCACGAGACGATATGCACGACATGTCTTGAGACGTTGTGTTGGCCCCTTGGAGTGGTCTCTGCGCTCTGCCTTGAGAAACGGAACGGATGAGGTCGTTGCTTGCTTGGGTGGCTCGCACAGTGTACGGATTTCTCCAGATTGATCTTATCCTGTAGTCATTTTGATCCCAGCGTTTGTGCGGTCGGTGTTGGATGAAGTCAAGCAAGCTTGGCACCGGGTGCACGTGAGGTCTTGAAAGTTGTCAGCCACCAAATCGGAAGACCGGGCATCAGTCCCCACGCAGACATATCTCATCCTATCGTATCTTTTGCTGTGCTGGGATAGGCTCTTTCATTTAGTTGTTCAGTTGCTAGTGAGAGTCGTTGATGCTGACTGATACATCACGCCTGGTCAAAAGTTCAATCACACCATGAAGCCCCAGTACCTAACCCCCGGTCCAGGTACGCAGTTGTAAGCTCCATCCACACCTCGACGTGCCAGTCACGTGTTGGCCAGTTTCAACGACACGCCTCTTCGACGGGGGGCATCATCGTAGAGATTCGGAAATGTGTTGCTTTGTCTACTTCACAATTTCTCTACGGCTCCTTCAAGCAGGCTAAGTAGTCAATAATTACAAACGAGGGATGTCTTCTCGGCCAACCCTTAAGGTACCGTTCTACTCGTCGCTGGAGAACGAGAAAGTACCATCGGTGTTGTGATCGATCTGTATCTCCCGGTTGTCCTCGGTGAACTCGACCTCTATCCAATCAGACGGCATTTGTGAGCTAAGATCCAAGATGATTTTTGTTTTGGCAGTCGACTTTGCAATCCTCCACTTATTAGACATTGGTGCTAAGTGGAAACTCTGGTTGGGGACTGCTTTCCACACGACGGTTGGCACAATTCCCACTCCAAATGGTGCTGGCGCACCCAGTCCAACGAATGGTCGTGCTATGGAAAGAAATGGTTGAGTAAGTTTATTTAAACCCGCCTTCAAGTGGCATCATATGAGGTATGAGCATCTCGTCATGACGTACCTTTATCGTTGCCGGCAAAGCTGTCGCATGAGATGCGAATGGAGGCCTTTTCTGACGTACTATTTTTGTCTACTCGGCCTGATCCGGGTGTGAAGGATGCCGCTGCATCTTTAGGCAAGACCATGTTGCAACTTGTCTGGGGGTTCTCAGCCAGATAGGTCTCGCACGTATCAGTTGCATAGACCTGCAGGCCTGGCTCCAACTGGTGATGGGGGGAGCCTGTGACCACAAAAATCGGGTGCGAGCCGACACCTTGCATGGCAATCCCAAACTCATTGGAACCCGTTCTCGCATTTATTGACTGGCTCTGTTGGTATACGCAGGTAAAGACGTTCTGCGGGTCGCCCGAGGTAAACTTTGGCGGCGATGGATATAAAATGAAAGAAGTTGCGTTGAAGCTGAGATTGTTCACACTGACAGTCCACCGCATATTGAGCCACTTTGGCGCTAGCATAGACCGATAAATTTGGGGCTTCTCCATTACGAACATCGTTGTGTAGTCGACGTTGATATCATCGGGATCTTTCTCCTCGGCAGATGAGGCTGAATCCATGCTGACCTCGGTGTAACGTTGGGGATTGGCTTGGTATACTGGGAAGAGTGGAGGGTGGTGATGATTGGAATCTGGGGTTTGAACGCAAGATGAGAGAGAGAGCTTGCGTGTCGCATTGAGAATCGAGGGAAGGTTGTGGGTGCGGGCCGACTCATTTATAAGTCAAGCCTAATAAATTGCGTAAGGGGATTAGAGCTGTGACCGGTCCAGGATATGATTGGGCGCCTCAGATGCCACTTGATTCAAAGTCGGGTTGCAGAAGAAGAAAACAAATTAAGCTCTCCGTGCTGTAGCACTGCGCTGCCCGATTACCTCCTAGCATTAATTGAGCTGAGGTGTGTGGGTGTACGCTGCCTTCAAGGACCTGGCTACATATTCCAGAACGAAAACGGGAGAGTTTCTTCCAGTACTTATATTCTGGGGTTTTATGGCGAGCGGCCTAGACCGCAATTTAATTTTAAGACACAGCAACAAAGCAAGCAGTGGTTTCCTATCTCGTCCCTCCTTGAATCCATTAGCCCCGATATCACTTCATAACCTCCAGCAAATAATTCCGCAACATCCGTGACCGCATCTCTGCATGCCTCACTAAGTACTACTGCTTACTTCTCTAGATAACGAAACCGTCTCAAGCCCCGTCAATATTTCCGAAGCTCCACTTGACGCCGTTCGCTGCAACCTTGTCATCAGCTTCGTATGTGCCATTGTTATTGAGGGTGAAGGTGGCGTTCGGGATAGCTGCGCCGCTGAAGTCCACCTTCAAAACTTGGCCAATTGTGGTCCTGTCCACAACAACACCTGGTTCGAAGCGACCGAAGGCAATATAATATATGACCTTGGGAAAAATCTGGCTAGTGAGACCTGGCTGGGCGAGCCAAGTCTGGATAGGAATCACTTCGCCAGTCTTCGGGTCTGGGGCGCCGCAACCGATGTAGATTTCATCTGTGAAACTTTAGTAAGTGGAATAGAATCATGTAGACTCTAACGACGATGCAGGTCTTACTGGGATTGGGGAACTTGAAGGTGTTGTCGGCGCGAAGGTCAAAGCCGCCCTTGGCTTGGGCCGTGTTGGCCATCTGGGACTGATCCCAGGTTGGGTCCACTCCATTGTGATCGACGGTTGTGACAACAGCAAGTGTTCCATTAGGACCAAGCTTGGCAGGGACGGAGTCGCCAGTATCGACACGGATGGCCCCATCTGCAGTTGCCTGAGAGGTACCATAGATGGCATAATACTGCTGCTTCATGGTGAAGTCGGTGTGGGCAGAACCTGTGCCATTGATGGTAGGGGAACGCTGGTAAATGTTGGCGAATACGTTCTTCTGATTGAGATTGGTTGGCACCGGCATGTCCTGAAAAAGGAGAAACGCGCGGTCGTTGTTGGACTTGTTCTTGATCGTAATCTTGAAGCTCGACATTTTGATAGCCAGGGTTCTGGCGATAGCCAAAAGATGATTATGAGATAGAGGTAGTAGAATACTTAAGATGTGAAGCTGACTGGTTTTCTGGTTGCTTTTCTTTAGACAGTTTCGGGGAGGGAACTGGAGAGGCCTTTATATTATTTTCAATATCCAAGGTTAGCCGAGTCTTACCAATCCACATCTTCGAGCCTGATGTAGTTTATAGTGCGGTTAAAGGTCACACATCCTGTCTTTCTGCATTCCGTTCCTCTGTTATCGCGGTGTTCACACGAGAACAGGTGTGTCGAAGTGGTGGCTCCAATCAGCTCCACCACGTCGGCCCATTCGCGCCTCTCATTTCATGCTTTGGGCTTTCGGGATGTACTAAGAAGGAGCTACAAATGTTTATGCGTAATCTGAATCAGAGGAAGGTGTCGATAGGTTGATAATGTTACGCCATTGCTCGTTTGAACATGTTTCCAGTGGCAAGTGGCTTGCATGAGTGAAGGTGATGAATATTCTACGTCTGACTGCGTTCATAACAAACATGCCTTACTCTGAGAAGGCGAAGTACGAGCCAGTCAGGGTTCGTGATGATCTTCGACTCATCTAGGGCGACTACGTGGTGGTAGTGTTGACTTCTCACCGCCTTCTTGGAGGAAAAGGAAGTTTTGGCTCCAGAAGAAAGCAAACAGACACCTAAACCTATCCTCGCTTCCCACTTGTATGGAGCGTTGAGATTGCTTTCAAGTTGCTGCTTTCATACTTCTTGATCTCTTCGCTCGGGATTCGTCTGTATACGAGAAGTCGTGATGTAAAGTTTAAGATTTTCCTGAATTATCACATCCTTGAGCTGATAAATTTTGACGCCTCAGTTCCGGGTTAGGATTCAAGGAGTGCAGGCGGGCAATTTTGCTGCGGAGTTCACACACTATACATGCAGGAACTGAATGCCAACGGAGTAAAAAGTGAAGGCATTGGTCGACAATGATGCACGATGTCGGACTTGGTCGAACGTTAGAAAAACATGGAGCAATGGTGTCTCGTGCTCTTTTCAGCTTTCTGTTCGCAAGCCTGGCGAGACACCAACAAAATAAGTACTCATGTGGGGGCTCGAAGGTACTGAGAAGTATGAATTAGGGTTCTCGATCGTCAATGTGCTCGATGCAAATCACTGAACACAACCTCAGGAGCAGGATTGAATACTTACTTTGTGACAGACATCTACAAGTCAAACAACAAGTATTCACGAATCAGGGTAGACCTGACTAACCCCTTGCAAGCTTCAGAGACGCGATGTTGGGGTGGGAACGCGGGGAAGAACCTCAGCGTCGTGGTGGCGTGCTTGCCGGCGGGAGCTGACGGGAGCTAGCGGGAGCTGAAATGAGACAGCAGAACTGACATTAGTGCCGTTTGGTAGGAAAGAGGATAATTTCCGTTTTCGACAATGTGTCAGCCGCTCCGTACTAATCATCGTGATACGAGACTTGTCGGTGACCAGAGAGGTCTAGACTCAAGTGATTATGCACGATATCCAGGTTTTGTCTCCGTTCTCTTATTCCACTATCCGAAATATGTTCAAATGAGCTTGGTACAGAACCTTCGACCCAGCGGTATATGGACTTGATCGCCGCAAGTCTGAGCACTACCGAGCTTAGCTGCAACACTTTCCCAACTCCGGTGGTTGCGCACATATATCACACAACTCAGCCAGCCTCATCGGGGGAGCCATACGATGTGAACATACTAGTGAAATGCTGGGTTCATGCCTTCTATGAGCGGATAATTTGGACGCTGTGCCAGTGCTGAGAAGAGTATCTGGTTATGAGCGTCTGACGCCGATGGATAAAGAGGAGAGCTACTCGGGTCACGCATACTTACTAGCTTTGAATTCATCCAGTCAGTCGGAAACTGATCAAAGATATTCATTACCATTGTAACTTTTTCTTGCCGTAAAGTTCAACATTCAATTCTCACCACCGCTTCGCCATGGGTTCTTTCAGCGTTGGAAGACCACAAGCAGCTCTAAACGCGATTCGAAATCTTCTCCTCGGGGGCGTTGGAATACCTAGTGAGTAGTTCTCGAAACGCGGGGGGTCAAATGAGAATCCAGCCGTTGATGTAACCTCAGCTGTTCCGACCGGAATCCTCTCTCGGCTCGTAGCCCCGGCACTGACCATCGATGCACCGGCGAGCCAGGGTGGAAGAATCTTAGAAGTAGCTTTCTGGGGTGGAATCATGTCTACTATTGAGATCGTTGCCGGTGAGGAGAATTTGGACAAAATGAATTGCTGGGAGCAAGTTCTTGGACTTGGCGGCCCACAGTCTCCCAAAATCCCAAACGAGAAATTGGATCTGTACCGCCAAAATGGCATGCCTCTTCAGGACTTAGCCCGATACTGCGAGGTCTTGGAGACTGGAAAAGACAGCAGTATGGCTGGGGCCGTGGCTTTGAAGAATAAGGCCTCTGAGTAGTGAGTCATTTCCAGGTTCTTCTCACCTACATATGTAATCAACTGACATTTGCTATTTCACAGCTTCGCTCTTGCCATCTCAATGAAGGTTCCAGCTGGTACAACTGAAAGTGGCCCTAATGCGAAAGCGGAGGTGCTCCTTGTCCATGCCTTCAAGGTCGAACCCAAGCGGAAATGAGGTTACGACGCTAGTCTATTATCTGCCGCTGTACTTTAGCAGAAGTAGTTCCGTCAAGTGTGATGGACGCCATTTTGGCTACTTAATTGTCTGACACGATGAATCTAAGGCCATAATGAACCTGTGATGGTCTATTGTTGGTGTCATGTTCATGAGCGAATCGAGTGTAGGTTACAGGGAGTACAGTTCGTGCTGATCTTGCAGCTTAAGTCACTGACTAAGCCAAGATACTAAGAACACGAGGTGTTGCTGTTGTTATCAAAACATTTTATCAGTTTATAAGACAATCCAGCTTCTGCTTTGATTGCCGCAGAAAATAGGGCGATGATTCCAGGTGTGCACCAAGTTAACGCGATCAGCAGACAGTTAGATGCTGAGCATGATGAAAGGTGTCAAGTGTGGCCGGGATCTGACCTATTAGCCAACTTGAAAGAAATTTTACAGAGGCCCATTTCATAACATCTGTCTATAATTCGAATGCCTTGGTTGAGTTGTTGTGCCGGTTGCTGCGCTGTCGCCCCCTAGCTTTTCCTGACAATATCTACGACTTAGCATCACCAAACCACCACATACGACCATACCCATTGGAAAACTCGGGATCCCGTCCGCTCTCCCATAGATAAGCCAATGAGGGCCGGATTAGTAGTTGGGTCGGTGACGACCAGCGAATACCTGGTGTTGTATGTTTTTGAAGTTTTGGTGGATTCGCGAGCATGCTGAATGTGTGGGTTTGTATGGAGTTCAGGGCGGCGGCGGCTGGTGACGACGTATTGACTTGCTCGTATGCTTCCACTAGAAGAGACTATACTTGGACATGTAGCATTATGTGACTCTTCATGCTATTGAAAAAGCGCGCCTGCTGGTTGTTCCGCAAATTTTGGCCCCTTGAGTAGACGTGAGGCGACATTTGTTGATGTCGTCTGCGGAGCGTCCATTATCATGAGACAGGAACTATCTGAGCTCCTATCAACGGTCTACGGACGCTCGCGGTTGAAATGAATTGACATGTAGTCGATTCAGATAGATTTCGGCGGCAATATCTGACCAAAGCCATGATCTGCTTTGCCTGTGTCAGTCGAGCTGTCACGGCCATCGACATTGCATTGGAAGATAGACATCCTTCT